GCCAAGATACGGGATAGTTCTAGAAACAAGAGAGGGTGAGAATTGTCACGTGATCTCGATGACGCAACAATATATTTAGCTATTTTATTGAAGCTATAAGAATACATTTACAACTGAATTACAGCTTTTATTTTACTGCAAACTTTCCACTTTTTGAAATAAGTTTTCCATATAATTTCAGAACATAACATTCTTAACAATGAAGAAGAAAAATATAATGCTGTTATTAAGTAGCAATATTCATGATTAGACAATCTCTAGTGAAGTCATAATGAACTAGAGGGGCACTCGGTGGAGTGCATAGCTCTGCCAGGCACTGTTGATCATATTCAGCCCTCAAGAAATATGAAAATTTTTCTGTATATCCATTGTTATCAATGGACATGGGCCATTTTTGGCATGACAATGAGGAATAATATTCTACATAGGTCTATCAAGTTTCTTCAATCTCTGACCATTTTTGACTGCATTATAGATTAAAATAAAGTGTGAAAAATCTCCCCACGTTAACAGATAGGGATTTTTTAGATTTTCATGACCTTGCTGTGATCTTGACACTTCAAAAATTAATCACTTCTAAGTTCGGTCATAGTCCAAATGTGTACCAACATTCATCCAAATCCATTCAGCCATTTTCAAGACATAGTGCTGACAAACACACACGTACAAGCAGAGGTGAAAACATAACCTCCAGCATTAGGTGCTGGAGGTAATAACAAAATCATTATATAAAACAATGTAGTGAAGCCATCAAATAGATGACAAACAAATCAAAACTTGCCACAAAATAAATTTTGCCTATAGTATAAATGTCCAGTATTCTTGTAATTATAAGCCACTATATGACTAACTAACACTATAGCCTTATTTATGTTTAGAGATTTTGAAAAACAAAATTCATTGAATATGGCATCCCCATTGCATTTTGTTAAAAAACAAACAGCAGAAAAACTGACATAATTAAAATATCAAAATTCTTAACAGTATGCTAACACATATAATAAATGTGCAATCCAACAATAACTACCTGAGTAACATAGGTGCTTTTGTGATTTCCTTCCCAGACTGAAGCTGTGTAATGTTCTTGGGCAAAACGAGGAGGGTTATCATTCTGATCCACTAAGTGGACAGTTAAAGCAGTATAGCCATATACTGGTTCAGCTTCCTCTGTTTTTGCTACAATCAAAACTTTCATTGTCTGAAACCTTTCAAAATCCAGAAGTGACGAGTTTTTAACTCGGATGACTCCTAAAAAAGAATTGTACAACAAATATTATTCAACATGGAACAATTTCTAATGGGTTTTACTATTGACTAGTCATCAAAATATTAGACAAATATGCAAACATCAAGTACAGTGAGATTTGAACAAGAAGATTCAACTGGTTTATTATGTTTGTTTCAAAGACTAGTGACATTTGACAGCCATGGCTCCAAAGTGTGGAGTACAATTTTTTGTATGTGGTAACAAGATGTAAGCAATAGACCTGCAAATCCACAGTCCAGCACACTATCCACAGGGCCAGGTGTAAGCTACCCCTGAGTTGTTTTGATAGCTTGTGTAAGGTATCTCTGAGCTGTTTTCACGTCTGATGCAAGCTACTCTTGACCTATTTTCACATCTGGTATAAAGTAACCCTGAACTGTTTTCACATCTTGTGTAAGCTATCCCTAAGCTATTTTAACATCTAATTTATATAAATAATAACGGCTACAATACAATCTATGGATATAAAATTCAGTCAAGAGATACACAAGTAAGATAGTTAACATAAAATAACATAACATTAAAGGACAAGGGATTTTTTTTGGTCCATCTAGGCCATCATATCCTCTAAATTAAACTAAATGCTAAAAAAAATCAAAATCAGCATTTATCATTCAACTATTTATCAAGCTTTCTCTTAAACTCCCTTTAATTAACTGCATCTACCACATCTGAAGGTAACCCTTAGCTGTTATAAACAACTAAAGTTAAACAGGTCTGTGAAGATGCAAATGAGTGAGCCAAATGCTAACTAGTAACATGTTTATATACTCAACAGCAATTATACTATAATATAAAGATATAGTAATGAGTAGCTAAAGATACTAATATTTTTATGTTTATAAAAACAATGAAGGCTACATTATAAGCCTCAAATACAGAAGTGAGACAGAAGATATACCAGTATATCATACTTATATAACCAACAGAATTACAATACAGTCTGCAATACACAAGTTATCGGGTTTATATAAACAAAGCAAATCTAAAATAAACTTTATGGATATACATCTAAGTCAGAGAAGCTACAAGCACGTACCTGAGTTACGAGAAATGCTGAATGCTCCTTCAGGACTTTCATTGATCAAAGAATAAGTAATTACAACTGATCGACCAGATGGAGCACTGACTTTCACAGTTGTGACTTCCAGTCCCATTGGAGCATTTTCAGGTAATTCTATAATGTAACTTTTATTTTGAAACTTTAGCATTGGTGGAGGAGTACCATTCTCCACGTAAATTTCCAAGATATCTATATACAAGAAGAAAACACAAAATAGATATTCTTATCTCTTTTATCTCATCATAATTATTAAGGTAACTTAATATGCCTCTTTTCACTTTTAAAACTCTTTCAAACAATTCATAGTTACTGGCTTCATCTATTTTATTTATAATTAAAGATCTTATTTATCCCTTAGTTTTATAAGTTCTAAACACCAGTGCTTAACAACAGAAATTAAAAAAAAATTAAACCATAGGTTTAGAATTATTTTATCAAAATAAAATGACTGCAAAATTTCCAATGTAAAGTTTGTGAGATTTATTTTCAGTTTGAGTAGAGAAGTTAACATTTTCTACTGAAAATGTATTTCCAATAGATATTCATCTCTACTCACCCAAATCCATCTCAATCCTGTTTTGCCCTCTAAGCATTGCTTAAAAAATTTCACTAACAATGCACCAGTCTTTTATACCCCTTCATTTTTGAGCTATGTAATTACCCTCCACCAATCATATTGCACCATTTATACTAGTGCAGCTAGCTCTCTCTACTATTCTAGCACAATTCTCACTTTTGAGAAATAGCAGGTACAAAGTAGAAACACTGGCATAACAGTGGGGAGGAAGGGTGGGAAATGGGTGAGAAGAGGTAAGTACCTATCGGAAATACATTTCACTGTAAGAAAATGTTAACTTCCGAAACAGTACTACCTCTTCTCACCCAAAGCTAGAATCCCACACTTCAAAGATGGAGGGATCAGTGAAGGCACTGAAGGCAGTATTCAATCAAGTGGAGAGCAACTGGTTTGAAAGAACAGGTGAGCTATAATAAGAAAAGAAGGTATACCTGTGGGGTATAGCACTACTTTTTGAACATTTATGCTCTTCGTTCAGTAACGAATACAGTAATACATAAAGAGCAGAATGTAATAGACAGGCACCATAGCCTCAAGAAAGAGATGTACAGTACCATTCTGTGGAGAAGTGATATATAATTATGACATGAAACAGCACAACGTGAACAACAATGGAATGTCTAGTGTGCAATCAACAACAGGCCAAAATAAATATGTGCCAAGGGTAGAGTCTTGGGGCACACCAGAGTATATCAATTGCTGTCCAACTAGGCAAAAAATTATAGATTGCAGAAATTAGGTCCATCCACACATGCACACATAAACTTGCTAAACATGGGTATACCTACTGGGAGTGAGGAATACACACTGAAAAACTTACCACAGGTCTCCTAGGAAAAAGAACAATACCTAACCCAGCAGATTACATGGAGGCTCGGAGTGCCATAGAAAGAAATTTCCATACAGTAATTATATCCTTCCTCACAAAAAATCATAACATGAAAGAAAGAAATCGTTAGCCTAGCGTAAAACACAAGCTCTCACCGAACTAAAGCCTGTGCTTCCCCAGCAGACATCGTTGACCCTGAGAGCTGGGGACTTGTGTTAGAATCAATGTCTACTAACACAGGAGTTTCATTATCTGCCATTTTACATCTCGAATTCATATGAACAAATTATAAATCGGAAAAGGGAAATAATTATAAAACAAATGAATAGAAACGATGAAAATCAAACACAAGAAGTTGAAACTGATATAAATTTGTGATCAAGCACAATAAAAATCAAAAGTTAAAACACACGTCTATACATTAAAATGCCATTCAAGAAAGTGACGATTGTGCTAGAATAGTAGAGGGAGCTAGCTGAGTTAGTATAGATTGTGCAGTATGATTGGTAGAGGGTAGTCACACGATCATCACATGTTCTGAAATGATGCAAAAATGAAGAGATATAAAAGAGTGGTGTGTTGTTAGTGAAAATTTTTTAGCAGTGTTTAGAAGACAAACCAGGATTGGAATAGCTTTGGGTGAGAAGAGGTCTATAATTCAGGTAAAATGGCACAATTAATCTGATTTTCATACAGAAAACTGCTTTCTTTAAATTCTGGTCCATTTCTTTGTTAGATTGTAGTTTAATTGCCGATTATTTCAAGAATGTTAGTTGTCAAAGTTTAAAATACTATAAACCCTGAATAAAAACCAATGAATTTTCAGGTTTGTCATAGACTTCAGCAGAATTCTAAAATAGCTAGTATTAGATTTGTTACTAATTATTTACAGGTCACTTTTTGTTGTCTCATATGTAATTTCCGTTTTGCAGATTCTGCATTTTCTATTTGAAAAATGTTTTGGATAAGAAAATTTTCTTCATCGTATGATTTATAATCAAAATCAGGTCTTTGCCATCACTGATGCTGCTTTGTGATAAGCTATACACATACCCAATGTAGTTTTTGCTGGCCGACCTCTGTCAGTAGCTGTGACTTCAATGTGGAACACAGTGCCTGCGTCAGACAACAGACTACCTGAAACAGTCACCATTCCACTATCTCTGTCAAGGTGGAACTTTCCAGCCATAGCTGAGCTTACAAAGCTACAAAGAAGGAAGAAAAAATATCCATACCCTTTTTATAAAAAATTAATGCAATGCAATGTTCAAAATTAAAATTTTGAAACTACACAAAATGGAACCAAAACAGAAAGCACACTAATATAGTGTTTCGTTCTGAATATAGGAATGTTTTAAACAAATATATATTCCAAGTGTAATATAAAGGTACAATCTATATAGGCTAGAATGATACACTGTAAGACAAAAAATATGCTTATCTTGTGAAAACTTATCATAAGCATAACATGAGAATGATAAAAAACTTAACTGTACAGTAAATCCTTAACAACTTTTTAATAGGTCTTAAACAAATTTCTTAATAAGTCTTATCTGAAGAAATTATAACTCAAATTATTTTCACTTCAACATTCAGTCTGTTTTGATTTATCAGCAAGGTTGGCTATTTCAAACATCAGCTTGTAATAAACATGATCAAGAGAAAGTCTAAGCAGCTTGAAACATTTCTCAGAAACTACTAAGGCAGATGCAGTCAACAGAAATCTCCAATAAAGCTCAAAAGCACACATGTATATTTAAATAGAAAAAATAAAAATTCAACTAGTGCAATCATAATTTAATTTTTTGATTACAATTTTTATTCTCTTCTGTTTTAACTTATCAATGTTATATGAACTACTAGCAAGTTTTTAGTAAATCTAAACAGAAAACCCTTAAGATCAACTTAAAATTGTGGAGAATGTTTTGTACTTAATGAATTGGTAGTTATAGAAAGCACTGAGTCAAACTGAAGTAATTACTAGTTAAAAGTCTCTGCAAATAACCTAATACCTTTTGAATAAAAGCATTCACCCACCTAACCCACTTATATTTCAAAAACCTTTTCAATCATAACTGTAATTAACAATAAAAATGTGGAAAGTGAGCTTAACACACTTCCCAATTTAACAAGTGCTTTCTACAATTAGAATTATAGCTGTAGTTCCAATATTACCAAAAAATTCTGTACATTGAGTTACCCATAACTTCAAAGGAATTTGACTGTACAGTAGACAAAAATTATTACTTTTATTAATTGTTGTTTTTCTAAAACAAAACTCAACAATGATATTACAAGAAAAACTGCAAAAGAGTGCATAAATAAGCTTTCTGTCATTTTTTCTTCTTCTTAAATGAGCTTTTAATATCTAGAACAAAATTTCACCTGTAAACTAGTGCAGCATTAGGACCTTCATCACCATCATTAGCTTCAAGATGCACAACTTGAGTGCCAGGATGTGCATGAGCAGATACAGTAGTAAAGTAGGGATAATTTAGAAACACGGGCCTATTGTCATTAACATCAGCAACACTAACATAAACAATTGCTCGTTCCAATCGAGCATCATACTTTCCACTATCAGTGGCTTGTACTTCAAACTTGTACGAATCTCTCTTTTCTCTGTTAAAATGTCTAGAATTAAAGAAAAAGAACATTATGAAAACAATGCAAGAGTTTATATGGATGAATTTATATATACCTACTATTTTAAAAATAGCTTCAATATTATCTTTGAACTGTAGTTACTCTGATAACTAATTCATTTTTATCATGTTTTCAATATTTAATTAAGAGTACCATCTGATTAATTTGAATAAATAAATAAAACCACCCATCTTAAGCATACATAATTCTTATTTCCTCAAAATCAGTTTAAACCTAGAACTTATTCTGAAATATTAAAACTTCTCTTGTTTTAAGCAGTTTATCTAGCACAAGGATGTTTGTTTCTTATGGTGCTTAACATTGATGTCTAAAAGACATTTTACGTTTCTATATGAAAGTGAAAAAAATCACATTAATATTTTGTCTTATTCATAGCATTGCTGTATTGCTTTGAAAAATAAACAGGATTTGGAGAAATAAAGTAAGTATATAAGCTCCCATGACACAATAATGAGCATGCTATGATTAGCTAAAAACAGTAGTTTAAAAAAAGTAAGTTCTTACTCAAACTATATAGAGAACACAGTTGGTAACCCAAAGGATCCAAATGTTTTGTTTTTGTTTTTGGTTGAGAGAAACCTGACCTGTTGTATTCTTTTATTCAAGTATTCGCTGTTTTTCCATAAAGTTTTTTATGGATGGCTTCAAAATATAATGGTTAATAAGACAGAAGAGGTTGCAAATATCTAACAGTGGTATTTGGCTATGTCTTCTATAAATGTACAAAAGTAATAGAAAAAGATACCAAGTTTATTGAGCTAAATAACTTTAAATCTTACAATTTTTTCACCCAATATATTACAACTACTTTGGAAATACAGCCTTGTATTCACCATTTCAAAATTTGAAATATTTTACATAATGAAATCAACGATTTCTATACTTAAAAACATAATAAATAAATTATACATAAAAAGGATTTTATTACTTATTTTATTCTGCTTTTAAAACCACATTCTATTCTGGTATTAATAATAACACTGTCTTACATTTCTTTAGTGCTGATCACAATATTCCGCCTTACTTACCCAGTGCTTGTGACAACACCAGATTCACTATCAATTTTAAATAATGACAGGGTTTCATTACTTAAAGAGTATGTAATCTTGCTGTTCATATGTTGATCACGATCTTGAGCATGGATAACAAGAACTGTAGTATTGATTGGTGCATCCTCAGATAAGGTGGCTCTATACTCGCTCTGTTCAAACTGAGGACTGTTGTCATTCTGATCAAGAACTACAATGGTTATGTTACATGATCCTGACCGGGAAGGTTGGCCTCGGTCTCGAGCAGTGATTATAATACTGTAGAGTGCAATTTGTTCTCGATCAAGGGGTCCACTTGAAAGCTCTCCAGAGTAAGGGTCAATGCTGAACTTACTTCCAACATTTCCACCTTAATAAAAAAGTTCACAAGTGATATTAGCATCTTGGAAATTACTTTCAATATCACATATTGTTAAAAAATAATAAAAATCAGACTTATATGAAAGTTTTTGTAAAATATTATGGCATGTATTCTACCGAAAGTGAGTTAAACAGTAACAGTGATTTTCACAATTATATCAAGATAAGACAGATTCAAATTAAGTTGCAGCTTATATGTAGAATGAATGCATATAGAGAGTGAGAAACACTGGTTAACCCTAAACTTAGTTGCAATTACAATATTAGAGAGGAAAAAATTATACATACTTTTTACAGAGTTCTTTTTCAATCAAGTGATATTTGACTTTTACGAACCTTCTTTTAGAGCTACAAACTGAGTAACTGTAGAGAGAGTCGAGTACATTATATCACAATGATTTTGAATATTCAAGTCAGTAAGTCATATGACAATCACAGCTGTGTGAAATGATGGTGAAATGGAATGTATCAGGACTATATTGTTGTATGATTTGTAAGTGGTGTGATACCACCAAACACTAATTGCTTTTGAAAAGAATGTAAAACAGCCCTTGTCAATGCAAAATATTCATACACTCAGATCATAAAGACGAGTTCAGGCTGAGAATTTCCAAATTAAGGACATACCTTATACTTAATGGCATGAGAAAATAAAGGAATATGGATCAACCTGGGGCATATGGAAACCCAGAAAGAGACCAACGACAAGTTGTACTCCTGCTACGGAAGGTTAAATATGTCATTTTTGTAACACATGAGAATCCATGAACACAAAGATTAGTAGCAAAAGCCACTCACAGGCCCTAGGCAACAGTACATAACATAATCAAGAAATATCTTCATTCAGAAAAGTGACACAAGTTGCTTCCATGACATTTGTTCAACTATTGCATACCTCAATCAGCTGAGGAATGAAAAGGACATTCATACAATTCCATACAAAAACTTACTTGGTTAAGTCACCAGATGAAGCACCTATGGATTTCTGTGCATTTGGACTGTTGAAATAGGCAATGGGAAACCATTATCCTCTTATGCTAGATGGCTTATGGAAAATAAGTAGAGGGTAATGGTGTGCTTTATACATTACAACCTTACAATGGAGCCTTTTCCAATGAATACTATGTTGCAGAGCTATGGTCAAAATGCACAGCCGTCAGATAGAGTATGACTAGATGTAACGGTGTGTTGAGGCTCCAAAATCATTTTAATATAACATACTCAACATACAGGAGTCATAAACAATGAGTAATTGCAACTAAACATTCACCGTATCATAAGTACAATACATTATCACAGAAAAAACAAAAGAAATGCAAATAAGTTGTTCAATGCACAAGTATTTTTGCACTTGTTTTAAACAAAGCAGAACAGCTTGTTTTTCTATTACAATAAGTTTATCGATAAACTATTGCAAGAAATTATTTCAAATGCCCTTTATAAAGACTTAATAACATTCATATTGGGACTTTGTACAGGTCAAGCCATGGTTGCAAGTGTTCCATCAATTGCTTTTAAACTTCTAAGCATAATATCACCTCATATGTTGCTTGCTTGGAATCACTGTCTGGTTAGAAGATGAATCCCTGCCCAAAAAGTCTTAGATCGAAGGAAATGACATGATACATAAGAATCTGTTTATACCTATTAGCACTCATGGTGCCATAAATTTTATATAAATCTCAAACACCATTTTCTAAAATGCTACCCACACTTGTACTTGTCCCTAACATGCTATGCTGTAGATGTTGTACATTGCTCATAATACCATTCTCTTTCCTGTAATCAAACAAACTATCATTGATTGTTCACAAAAAAATTCAATTTGGATTCATCAGTAAAAGAGTACCTAACTCCATCTTTGCTCATCCCATGGTTTGAAGTTTTATGCTCAATTCAGGTTTTTAGTAATTTTTTCTCTCTTAAGCCATGGTTTTGGACCAGTAATGCATCTTACTGTTCTGAAGGTAAAATTCACACCTGTATTTACAGCTAAGTTATTGGCAAGATTCTACTAAATTGTAGTCTATCATATAACAAGCACACCCTGAGTTACTTAACATCACTTTTGTAGAGTTTGGGCTTTCTACCTCAATTGCTTCTATTATCAAGAACACTCATTTCATGTACCATGTTTAAAGTATCAATACAATTCCCTCCAAAACATGAATTCTTCCTTAATTTCTTGCATTTAGTAGCTTTCACCAGTCAAAACTTTGATATCTACATGTATGTTATGTGGAATTTCTGTCCTGGGAGCCTCAAGTGCAATCACTACACTACTAAAGAACTAGTATGACTGCCTGTACTTTTATAGGTATTATGCTGGTATAGCACTATCTGATTCAACAGATTACATTTAATCACAGTGTAAACTATCAACACATGGCTGTACTCTTGTGGAGTTCATTATCTTACAACAGAGGGTGCATTCCCATTAAGATAACTTATACTCTTTATAAAGTATACTGTATGCTATAAATAAAGCAACTGCTACCCCTTAAAGTTTCAATGTATATTACACTATCATAAATACTTTGTAAACATCCAAACATACTTTACCAGCAAGTTCAATGAAATCTCTTTACATCACAGTCATATACCATTATCACCAAAAGTAACCTGATGTACACTCCAATACCATTATTTTGTCTTGGAATATAATCAAAAGATTATCTCAGACTATATCTTGTAATTCAACTGTACTTATAATTACTTATTTCTTTCATTGGTAATGAGATAACTTGCTGGTTCACCAGATTTTTTGAATAATGAGTATATTAATTCAAGAAAATAATAATTAATAATTTATATGATATTGAAATCAATAAATAACATAGTGTTACAAAATCCTTACTCTAATTCTGATGTGTTGCACCATAAATCAAAACTGATAAAAGTTACATTTCACCAATTCAATCCAGTTCACAATGTAACAGTTCTTGTTATACATTTTCCTAATGTAAATATCACTTCAACTACTACTATGTCTGTGGAATCCCAGCAGGCCTAAGGAGCCCTTGTATTGAACAAAAAGCCTCTTTGCCTTTGGGTTACAGTAGATATAGCATGGTTGATATTACAAATTCTTCTTTACTTTCAAGCAGAAATTTGTATTAATCAACAAGTTTATTAATAGTAATATTTTTGTGGTATTTTAAACACCAAACAATTGCTTTAATGAATCATTTTACTTAAACATGTGATATTTAAAAAGTATAGTTTTAACACCTAACAAAGATTCTTAGTATAACATTTTGTACCTGTTATTGTATAAGTGACTTCAGCATTTTGACCAGCATCCAAATCACTTGCTACCACTGTATGTACAACACTATGCTCACTATTCTCTGGGACTTCTAATGGATAACAAGAGCCAGTAAAAACAGGAGCATGATCGTTGACATCCAGAAGTTCTACCTCAACAGTTGTGGTATTGTAATGCTCAGGAAAAGCTCCATCTTTGACATAAACTGTTATAAAATACCGTGGTTGTTCTTCCCGATCCAGAAGAGCTTTTGTAAAAATTTTACCTGTTTGACTTTCAATGGTAAATTTGTCATTTGCTATTCCCATAGGAATAACATATGTCAGGTTACCATTTATACCTGAAATAAAAAGTATTATATTTTGTATTCAATGTATTTCATAAATCATACAACTCATTACTGTTTTGATAAAGCACAATCACGTTTTAATTAAAGGACACTTGAAAAAAAGCATAAAACTGTTCCATAAATTTATAACACTGAAAACATATAACTTCCAAAAAAATTAATAGAACAAAAATAACACATACTAGTTAAATTAGAACGTGAAAAATGGGCTATTAATTCTCTGCAAGGTCAAAGGCCTCCTGGCATATAGTAGATGAACAAACCAACTATAAATAAATTTTAGTGGAGTTATACTCCTTTTGAAGTGTTTCTCCATTATTTTTTTATTAACTATTTTAAAACTTTTAATAAGAAGATTTTTTTAGTCTGTTTACTGGATCTATAAGACAAAAAAAGTATTCACCAATATTAATTAAGCTTAAATTAATTGACTATTCAAAAGTCACTAGAGTATAGCAATATCAAATTAAAAAATAACTAAGATACTCTTCTAAAAGGCTTAAGTTTCAGGGTCTAAGACAAAAACAAAATATGTAATCTTCCATATATCTTTCCACTTACTGAAAAAAAAATGCTCTGAAAGCTTGGTGTTAAAAAGTAGTAGTCTACTTTGAAATAATCTTTCCACTTAATTAATGAGATTAGAATGAAAAATAACTTTGGTGTAAGGCATTTGCAATTAATCTATATAAATATAACAAAAGAATTATCAAAATATTTCTAAATTAATAGCAGTGGCATAACTTTGATTTCAAAGTGGGGAGGGGAACAATTCCTGTAGCTGGGGTATGCATGAAGGTATTCTATTGAAATGAAATGTATTTTATCCACTCCCCATAAAAACTACAACTATGATTACTATTAATGCCACAAAATAAGTAACAATACTAGAATAAAAGTGTTAGTCACCTAAATCTTTGTCAATAGCCTGGACTTTAATGACAAATGTTCCACTTCTAGAATTTTCTGAAATGTTGGCCTTATAAACAGGCTGTTCAAATCTTGGTGAATTATCATTAACATCTTGAACATGAATCTTTAGGAGTTTAAATGTTGAATGAGGAGGTTTTCCATGATCACTAGCTGTTATATTCAGTTCAAAGAAATGACTGTCTTCACGATCCAGTGGAAAAGCTATAGATAAGAGTCCTGGGAAAGAAAAAAGATATACCTGTATATTTTATGTTTGCATATGTTATTCTAATACTTAAAAAATTGTCAAGCACATCAAAAACAGTGAAAGGAAAAAATATGGCAAACTTTCAATTAACCTTGGATTTTTCCTGCTCATTGAGGCAACATAATTAATATTTTAGGAAACACTGTGGAAACAACATAAACATAAAATGGGGATATATATGATTACTATTGTGTTGTAAGACTTTCCTGTTTGTTGAATAAGAAATAAACAGATAATATAATTATTACCTAAAACTTATTTTTGAATATGTTGAATTGCAAACTGAGTAGCATATGTCAACATAAACATGTATAGATGTGTGTGAGCTCATTAACTACTAAATTTCTGAAACTTTTATACATTATTTAATAGATATATTACATATAAATAACTAATCTTACTATTCATTTACAAGTCAGTAAATTCAGTTTCTAAGTACCAGTAACATTTTGCACGAACACAGTGAAATGGAAAATCTTACAGTAAAGTCTAAATTAATGTAATGTTCTCAACATAGATTATCTAACAGAAAAAAAAGTATGATCTCAACCTA